ACACACACACACACACACACACACACACACACACACACACACACACACACACACATATATATATATATATATATATATATATATATTTATATACGGCGATAGCACGTTCAAATTTAGTCAACGTGAAGTGAGACTGAACACGCGCGCATGCGTGTGGCGGCATCTGTGGCAGCAGCAGAAGCAGCAGCAGCGCTTATGTTAGGCCTAGCCCGGCTGCCTAGCTGACTGACCTACAACTTAACATCGCTCAACACGCAATATGCCCTCCACCGCTCTCGGTTTTAGACTAGGCGAGCTGGCCTTGACAAAAACCCCCTCAGATTTTCTCGCAAGATAGGCTTGGCAGCAACGCGGAAAATGAGGTCTTTCGCCTCGGTGCATGTTGCTTCAATTTAGTCACTGAGCTTCCTCCCCCTCCCCCCTACACTGCGCTCTCTCGCAGCGGCGCGCCCGAAACGAATGCATCAGGAAAAATGCCTGCAATTCTGCCCCCAGCGCCGCAGCCTCCTTCTATCTCCTGGCAACTGCGACCCACTACGACCCACCCGTTATCTACGGATTGACATAATTTTTCGCCGGCTCCTATATATAGCAGGCGCTCGTCGGTATCCGCAAACATTGTTGTTATTATCCCCGTACCGTGTCCGCGAAGCAATGTAAATATGAGCGCGTGCGCCTAGCTATCGCACAGCCTTGGCGTTTCGGTGCGAGTTATTCCTGGACACGCAGGGAAATAAGGGAATTATTGGGGGCGTGTCCTTGTTATCAAGAATAGGGCAACCGACGGCGATCAATCATCAAGCATCTGGCGGGGAACGACGATGAATGCTGCGACACGCATTGACGAATAATTCGGTCTCATCTCATCGGATCTCCCCCTCCTCCTCTCCTTCTTACCCCACCCACGCCACGCATTGATTTTATCAGGAGTAAATAATCACAAAAGAAAATAATTTAAATAATTAAATTCCATAATTTTATTTTCTTATCAAAGAAAAAAGTTGTGATTATTTACTCCTGATTGAATTGAGGTAATTTAGCGATTGTGCGAGTCGCGTTTTGCATACACATATACGTCTCGTATCGGGACGGGAGACTATACTTAGGGCCGATACAGCCGCGTGAACCTGTGCCGGTGATTACGAGCGTTTTACTACCATCTGCTGCGAGGTAATAAATATAAGCTGAACTTCAACCGGTATACGGGTGACAGATATAGCACTTAACGCGCTATAAAATATGCAAATATCGTGTGCACTTTAACCACAAAAAAGTGACGGTCGAGCGTTTCACACTCTATCGAATAT